AATGTTTTAAAATCAGGTGAAAAAATAGGGTGAAATGGGAAAATCTGAATCAGGAGTTAAACAAAATCAAGAAAGAAATGGAAGGAAATGTAATTTTGACTACAAGGTAGGATATATTTGACTGAAAATCTAAAGAGTACCAAGGAAAAGACATGGGGGGAAAAAAAGGAATAAAAATAAGTGAAGTGGTAAATATAGATGATTAGCAAAAAGTATCTAACATATGTATAAATGGGGTCCGTGAAGAATAAAAACTTAAAAAACAAAAATCTCTCTCTAAAAAAAAAAAATTCCTCAGAGCATCTAAGCAAAAATACCAAGTCATTTACAAAATAAAAAAATATAGTTAGTATTAGACTTTTTCATAGAAATTTATGGCAAAAAGTATGAGCCAAGGATTGTGTGTGTGATTGTGTGTGTGTGTGTGTGTGTGTGTGTGTGTGTCTCCTACCCTGTAGTCAAAATTACTTTTTCTTCCATTTCTTTCTTGATTTTGTTTAACTCTTGATTCAGATTTTCCCATTTTGCCCCATTTTTTCATCTGATTTTAAAACATTTTTGCTTCAAGGTGGTTCTTTCCATTTTGCGGATGTAGTTTAAGAATATATATATATATACACCCTAGCTGTCTTCAGCAGCAAGACTAAGTTTAAAATGTGGAAGAATACTGTACTCACTTGCCTTTCCAGAGAACTCTACTGAAGAAGTTTCACCCAAGCAAGATACGACCAGAGAAAACTTGGTTAGAAAAAAGCAAAATTGTTAGCATCAAATATATTTAAGTGCAGATCTAAGAGAAAAGTATATTAAATTGACAAGCTGGTTTTAAAACTCATATGGAAATAAAATGAACTTAAAATAGCCAAAATAATTTTGAAAAAGCAAAGTGAAGCTGGAGGACTTGAGGTGTACTCTAAACCTACAGTAATCAAGAAAGTGTGGTATTAGCATCAAGGTAGACAAACAGACTAATGCAATGACATTAAGAGTCAGAAATAGTCCCATACATATGATTGATTTGAAACAAAGGTACAAATGCAGTTTAGAAGAGAAAACATAGGTTTAACAAATGGTGCTAGTTAATTGGAAATTCTTACGCAAAAGAACAAATTTTGATCCATATACAAAAATTAACATATATAAAAATTAACTCATAACGTACCATGGACCTAAATGTAAAACCTCAAACTACAAAATCTAAAAGAAAATCTTTGCAACCTTAGATTGTCTGCAACAAAAGAATAAACCACCAAAGCAAAAACTGAATAATTAGATTTCAGCAAAAGAATTTCTGTTCTAAAAAGACACTGCCAATTATTCGCAGTGGCCAAGACAAGGAAGCAATCGAAGTGTCCTATGATAGATTGGATAAAGAAGCTGTGGTACATATATACAATGGAATATTACTCAGCCATAAGAAGAGATGAAATATTGCCATTTGCAACAACATGGATGGACCTCGAAATAATCATACCAAGCCAGACAGAAAAAGTTGAAAATCACATGATATCACTTATATGTGGGATATAAACCTAAAAGCAAAAAAATGAACAGGACAAACAGAGACTCATGGACAATGGACTAGTTGTTACCAGCGGGAAGGAGGAGAGGCGGGAGGTAGACAGGGAAAAAAAATTGAAATAATTTCTTCAATTAAAAAAATAATTTTAAAAAAAGACACTGTTAAGAGACTGAAAAACCAAGCCAAACTGGGAGAAAATATTTGCAAATTACTTGATAAAAGGTTTTGTATCTAGCGTGTATGAAAAACTCTCAAATCTCAATAAAAAGAAAACAAACCAAGTTAAAAATGGGCAAGATTTGAAGACACTTTGCCAAATAAACACATAAAATGAGCAACATCATTAGTCACCAGGGAAATGTTAAGTAAAACAAGATGCCACTACACATCTAATAGAATGTCTAAATTTAACACAAGACTGACAATAAGTGTTAGCAAATGGAACTTTCATACATTGCTAATCGAAATGTAAAATGGTACCACCACTTTGAGTTTAGCAGCTTCTTAAAGAGTTAAAATACATGACCTAGATATTCACTAAAGAGAAATGAAAGCATATGTCATACAAAGTCTTCTACACTAATACTCATGGCAGCTCTATTTGTAACAGCCCCAAACTGGAATCAAACTAAATGTTCATGAACAAGTGAATGGATAAGCATATTTAGTATATTCATGCAATGGAATACTACAGCAATAACAAGGATTGAACAAATGATATACACAACAAAATGGAAGAAACTCAAAATAACTATGTTGAGCAGGAGAAGCCAGACAAAAAGGATTCCAAATTTATAAAATTCTAGAAAATGCAGACTAACCTATGGTGACAGGAAGTGAATCAGCAGTTGTGTAGGGACAGATGAGGAGAGATGAGAGGGAAGGATTACAAGGAGTATAATGAAATCTAAACCAGCCCATACACTGAGACCACATGAAGCCCTGAGACGATATGAAGAAACGACCTGTCGATCCATAGATGCTCAGTCCTCAGCTACTGTGTGGACGCAACCACATGAAAAGATCTGAAGAACTAACAGCAAGGCTTCACAAATTCCTAACGGACAGAAACTATGAGAAATAATAATTATTGTTTTAAGCTACTAAGTTTTGAGTGATTTGTTACACAGCAACCAAAACAGACCATCAGGACTGCCTTATGTTTCTCAGTCACCACCAGAAACAGCCCAGGTTTCTCAAGTTATATATAACCAGAAACAGCCCAGGTTTCTCGTTATTCTTCATGTTCTGCCATTTTCTACCACTTCTCAGCTACTGACACTTCCACTGTGCTCTCCTGAGTAATCGGCAACCCCACCCCCACCCCATGTCTTTAACCTCTTCTTTGAATACTCCCTTCATCTTCTTGCTCTAAAATCTGGCTTTCTTTGAGGATGCCGTTTTCCATGCAGCTATCTCAAATAAATGTTTTTCTCCTTCATGTCCTTCAAATCTCTGTACCAAAGGTGAGGAAGAAACCTTTCTTGCTCCTGACTTTCACATTATTCTCCTTCTTTCCTCCCTAAAAACTCCCAGTTTTGAAAATCCTGTTACCAGACTCCAGTCTACTATCCCTCTCCTTATTGCAATCATCTACAGTCATCTGGGCACACTTCCTCATTCTCTAAGATTTATATCTCAGTACTCTCTCTGACACTACTGTCATAATTCTTGGTTATTTAAAAACCCTTGTAGATGATCCTACCAATAGCCTATTCTTGCAGGTCTTTAAATTTTTTTCTATCAACGATATTGTATACCACCCAATCTCAACTACTCAATTCTATGGACTTTATTATAACCAGTAACTACAACCTCTCCAAAAATTCAGCTTCAAGAATCCTACTCTCCAACCACCACCTTCTAGGCTCTGCAACTTATTCCTTCTGGTAGCTCAATAATGATAATCACTTTACTTCACTGGAAATAGCAAAACATTGATCCTCTCGCTTTTTAAATTGTCCCTCACTGTTCTAGCATCCTCACCTCCTTTCTTAGCCAGCTTAAATCCCATGGACAATCGTGAAGATTAATTGACTTGTACCTCTCCCTCTTCTTCATATTCACTTGGTAAAACTACAAGCATAACTGAGATATTGCCAGTTTAGTTCCAGACCACGTATTAAAGTCAGCATCACAACAAAGATAGTTGTAATCTTTTTGCTGGTGGAGGGTCTTGAAGTTTGTAAAAAAAAAAAAAAAAAAAAAAAATGCAACACCTGTGGAGCACAATAAACATGAAGCGCAATAAAATGAAGTATGCCTATACAACCCTATTAATTTCAACTATTGGTTTACTCTGTGCCTGGCCTCACACACCTGAATTGAATTTAGCTGGCGAAAAACATGATCGTGCTGTTCAGCCTCCTTTAATTTCATGATTACAAATCTCAAGTAGGCCTTTAATGTTGCCTAGCAATGTTTCCACTATATTTCCCTAGTCCAACACTCAATCCACTGTCCTAGAGACCTACTTCCTACCTTGTCTCTGCTCAAACCTCCAACACCTGTCCATCCTCACTCCTAGCTGATGACCTTATTTCTTTTACTGAGAAAACAGAAACAATCAAAAGAGCACTTTCACAATCTCCCTCCACCATATCTGCCCATTCACACAGATTTGCACCCATATAACTGCCGCCACATTAACTGTCAATGTACCTAACAAAGGCCAAATCCATTTCCTCTTATCTACTCCAGAACACTGCTTCAGCAATTCTCTCCTGCATCAATTTTTCCATCTTTACTGGACCTTTCCTATATGCCCACTAACATGCTGAACTGTTTCTTCCATCTTAAAAACAAACAAAACACGCAATTCGGAATCCTCTTTATCTCACTTCTCCATTACAATAAAACTCGAACTATTTGTTTACAAATGTTGCCTTGATTTTCTCCTCTCCAACTCTCACTCCAATCAGATTTCGCCACTATTTCGACCAAAAGCTGATCCTCTCTTTTATAAACCTGATCTACCTGAAGTTTTCCCCATCTCAGTACATTTGTAAAAGACAACTTCATCTTTTACAACTGTTCAGGATGGTCTTAAAGTTATCCTTGAATTTCCTCTCTCAAGCCTCCATTATCGGAATCATGTCCAACACCTGTTGCCTCTGACTTCAAAATATATCAAGAATCCGAGTACTTTGCTTTCCTTTGCTGACACCTGGATCTAAGTCTGGGTCGTTTCCGTAGACTCCTAATGTCCTTACTTCGCCCTGGCCTGCCCTCACCACCTCCGCGACGGAGCGTACAAACCAAAGTACGATCAAGTTGGTTAGGGCCTCGGCTCTAAGCTATCAGGGTACTCAAGCTGCGCGAGGAATTAGCTTGCGGCTGCAGCTCCCAAATGGGGAAAGATGTAGAAACATACGGACCACAGTCCAGCAGTGGCCAGGTCCCGCCCCGCAGCCGGGGAAGGACCATGGGCGATGGGAAGTGGGCGCTCGTCCAGAGGCAGAGCCAGCCGCGGCCTCACCTGGCCTGCGCCCCGCCGGAACAGCACCGAGTCCTCCTGCTCCGGGACACCGCCACCACCGCCTTCCACCCCCATCGCCATCGCGAGGCTACCGCGGGGTGCGCAGCATGGGCTGCGTGCCTCCGAAAATGACGACTTCCGCCGCCCGGGGCCTCTGGGCGCGGAAGAGTACGGTGGCCTGGAAAGCGAGCCCGCGGCGTGGAGGACTGCGCGCTCTTTACGTGTGGTCGCCTCCTGATTTCACTGATCGCTCTCGTTTTTCTTTTCTGTAGTCTCTCAATTTTTTGAGTTCACTTTTTCGTATATTCGTAGAGTGATTCTACCACAGTGTTTTCGTTTTTAATAATAAATTTATTTTAGAAAATAGTGTTCATTGCGGGCAATTTAGTGAATGTGGATAACGGAAAACAATGAAAATCAGTCCGGAGGTAACCAATAATAATATAGCTGTTCTAAAAGTGCACAAAAGTTTTGTTTTGTTTTGTTTTTTCGACAACAACTCTACGAATTAGGGGCTCTTATTTTAAAGATGAACAAACTGAGGCACAGTGTGTTTACACAGCTCCCTGGAATGCAGGCGGTAGAGTTCATGCTTTTAGACACTTCCCAACTTTGACTTTTAGGTTAATATCCGTTCTCCCAAATCTTTCTTAGTAAATTTTTTGACTTAAATGGGATCAAATGATATTCTTAGTTCTTACCATTTACTTTTCCAGTATTCTTTATTAGGAGTTTAGAATTGCTTAATGACTTCATGTACATATTACACCCTCACTGATAAACTAGACATCTGATTATGTAATTTAAAATTCTGGCAAAAGCAACATAAAATAAAAGGACAAACAATAGTTGGTAGCATGCGAGAAAATACTAATATTCCTAATATCTTTTAAAAAGCTTTGTCAAAAGTAAAAACAGCAAAACAGACAAAGGTAAAAAAGTTATTCATTGAGGAAAAAAACAGAAATGGCCAATAAATATGAAAATAAGCCAAACTCTGGAAGCTCTGTACTCAGTGTGCCTGGGTTCCTATCCTTAACCTGCCACTTACTAGCTGCTGACCTTGGGGGGAGATTCTTTAACCCAAATCTCAATTTATCTATAAAAATGGATATAACAGTAGTACCTACATGTGAAGACTAAATGAAATACAAAAGGCAGAAAACAAGGGGAGTTTACCAAAAAATTTACAAATGTCCAGTAAACATGAAAATATGCTCGACATCTAGTCACAGAATTGCAAATTAAAAACTAAGAACCAATTTTCACTTGGGTTGGCAAAATTATTAGAGATTAATAATATCTGATGTTATCAAGAGCATGAAAGTGCTACCCTCTTGTTGGAAAAATACAAACATGTTTAAAAATACAAACATGTATACCTTTACCCTAGGAATCCTATCTTTAAGAATCTATTCGTATAGAAATAAAAGCACCAGTACATAGGGTTAAGTATGGCAGCATATATTACAGAATTGTTTGTAGTGGCAAAAGCTTACAAACATCCTGATTGTCCATGAATAAGGAAGTGACTGGATAAATTACTGTACATCTATACTATGGTCAGCTCTATATGTACTGACTTGTGGGATGGCTATTAAATAAAAAGCATCAAGTTACAACTAAGATTTTCATTTTTCTTTAAAAAAACTTTATGTAGTGAGTTGAATGGTGGCCCCAAAATGATATGTACACCAGAAACTTGTGAATGTGAACTTATTTGGGAAAAGGTTTTTGCTGATGTAATTAAGAATCTTGAGATGAGATCATTGTGGATTAGAGTAGGCCCTAAATCCAAGACTAAATCCTCAGAAGAGACATGAAGACGACAGAAAAGAAGGCCATGTGAAGACAAAGGCAGAAATAGGATCTATGCTGCCACAGCTCAGGTAATGCCTGGAGCTACTAGGAGCTGGAAGAGCCAAGCAAGGATTATTCCCTTAGACTCTTCAGAAGGTGTACGGTCCTGTTGACACCCTGCTTTTAGATTTTTGGCCTCTAGAACTGTGAGAGAATACATTTCGGTTATTGTAAGCCACCAAGTTTGTGGTGATTTGTTATGACAGCCCTAGGAAACTTCCCATATCCCTTAGTTATATATATGTTTAAACATGTGTGCATGAGCACTGAGAGAAATGTACAACTATTTTATATTCCCTATGACCTGGAAATTCCAGTCTTAGGTATATACTCAGTAGGTGCTTATGACCACCAAAAGATGTATATATACACACACATATTAATATATATTATATATAACATGTAACATATCTATTACATTAGTAGTCATCCTGCCATATATATATGTATATATGTATAACGTACGGCAGAATGATTAATAATAGCCCCAAACTCAAAGTAATTCAAATGTCCATGAAAAGCAGAGTGGACGAACACATGATGGTATATTCGTTATGACAGATTGCTACACAGCAGTGAAAAAGAGGAAACTACTGCTACACATAAGACAGAGAATTCTCACAGATGTAATGTTGAGCAAATTAAGCCAGACTCACAAGGGTACATACTGCTTACTTAAAAGTGTAAAAACAGATAAAACTAACCCATGTTAATGATAGGTAGGTGGCATAATCTAAAAGTGGTCAAAAAGGAGGCTGCTAGGGTGCTGCAAATAGCTATGTATCTTGATCTGGATGGAGTATTTATATGTCAAAGTCAATCGAAATGTACATTTAAGCTGTGTGCTCTTTAGTATCATGTCACAGGGATACATGCTCAGGAGTGTAAATACTGGGACATACAGTAAAGATATATTTAATTTTCTAAGTAACTGATTTATTGCTAAATTTATTTTAGCCCTTTTGTTGCATTTTCCCAATTTTTCTATAATGAGCAGGCATTGCATTTTGGGGCTTTGAAAGCTCGTAGAGATATAAATGGTATAGAGATATAAATGGCTTCATTGTTGCTTCTCACACTGCAGACATTTACCTACCACCTTCAAGATTTGCATTGCCATGTATCTGTATTTTTTTAATTTTGTCTTAAACTTACAATAAGAGTATTAGACTCTTACTTCATTTTAGTCTGCCCAGCATCCATTCTCCCTTCCCTCTGGCAACAAAAACCCAGATTTGTTTGCCGGAGCACCTATTCCTCACTGGGTATAGTTTTGGTTATACTATTAACTTAGGTGAATTGCCCTCCTCTTGTCAAGAGGTAGGCACATAACCCAAACAAGTCCATTTGGAGGCACTCTAAGTGATATAAAGACTAAAAATGGTTGTCAGAATTTTAACATGATAGCAGCACTATGGAAAAAAGTGTCTTTAGTACCTGGAGCTGTTCCAGCTCTTGACCTTTCCAAAGCCTTCAGTCTTCAACTTTTCCTTGGACTCTGGAGTCTCTCATCCTTTTAAATAATGGTTGTTGTTATTAATAAATTGTTTGCAACCGAAAATTCTAGTGTATCATGAAACCAATTTTGATGTGGTTATATTTCCTCAAGCATACATCAATACATAACTCTAATTAAATGTCCATTCATAAGCTTCCTTAATAGTCATCCTGAGTGGTACAAGGCCAAATGAGACTTTGACCCCCACCCCCAAAAAAGTCCTTGATATGCAATATATATTTATACAATAAAGTATTCATTAGCGTTGTCTTGATTTCAGCAAGATTGGTAGGCAATTTCTTGTAAACTCACAAGTGTTGAGAAAGGCTCCACCAAACTATATATTCAAGGATATTCCTACACTGATATACCTGTAAGCAAAGTCACGTTCAACTGATAAAGTAATATGTGCCATGGAAAATATTTCTATAAAAGTTGTTATAAACAAATTTTAAAATCTCATTTTTCCTGGGCAAATGGTCCAACGGCAGACTACCTGTGAACTTTAAATGTGTATTAGCTAATTAGTGCTATGTAAAGGGTTTTGTTTTTAAAAAGTTTTAAGGAAAAGCCTGTAGTTTTAAATCTTTCCGGAGTTTATGGGGAAGTGCATTTGAGTCCTTAACTCGGTGACATTTTCATAACTTGGTCATTTGCAAAGACAACATATTCCAATACATGATTACTATATAGCACGTATTTTAGCAGATGAAGCTGTAGGAGGCAGCTTAATAAATGCTCTTATTCACTCTTGATATAATGGTTAACTATGAATGACAATTTCATAAAAATAATTCAACTTTTTAATTGAATTTTAATATTTATAGGTCTTCTATCACCAAAGACAATTAGAAATTTACCTAAAGAAGTTGACATGCTCTTTGCTTAGTTTGTGTCACTGCTAAAACCCTGACACAGATGGTAAAATGTACAAATCATAATCTGATAGTCAACTTTATATTAGAGTTTTCACTTTTGGGATACGTTTTTTTCTCACCAGCTCTATTGAGGTGTGAATGACAAATAAAAATTGAACATAGAATATATTTAAGGTGTAAATGTGATGATTTATATATGTATACATTGTGGGGCATATAAATGCTTTTTGAAGTTCAGTAGTTTTGAAATAGATTGTAGACTCAAAGCTAATGGCAGTATTACAACACTTAAACAGAAAAGCTTTTTACAAGGTAGAACTTGAAAATATACAAAAAAAAAAGTTTACCCACTTCTAGAAATGGGTAAACCTTTCCCATCCATAAAAACATGGGGAAAAAGGGAGCAAAACATAATTTTTAAAAGTTAGAAAAATGTCAGTAATCAATAATCCCTTTTAGTCCAGTTTCAAAAACAGGCTACTTTGATAAGTGGGTAACAATTTCTTACACTGCCACTAATAGTAAAGGCATTCGAAAGGAATCATGTTAACTGATGAAACTAACCTCAGTGTATCACCTTGGACAGTAGCAGCT